AAGCCAAACAGCAAGATCACAGCTCACCAACTCAAATCCCCCAGCAACTAAGACTAACCTGAGCACAACCAAGCCCCCACCTGAACAGAACACGCCTCCAACCAATCAGAACACGGCTAACCCCCCAACCAATCAGAACACAGCCAAACCCCCTACCAATGAGAACACACCCCCACCCAATCAGAACACAGCCAAGCCCCCACCCAATCAAGTCCCACCCCCACTAGCAGTTAAAAGGAAGAAGCAGCTGTAATCTCACATCACTCTGAGAAGCACAGAGCCGGAGACAGAAGCCTGAAGATGATGAATGAGACTTCATCGAAACGTTGCCTAGATACTTCGAATCTTACGCGGGAGAAAACCCGAACAACCAAAGATCCATATATGTATATAATATATATATGTGCGTGTGTGTGTGTTTTAGCGCATACGGTATCTTAAGATACAGTAAGTATCTTACGACTAACCTGTTTTCCATTTGAAGTACAAATTTGTACCCAATTTAATTTAAGTATTTTCTCTACCAGTTTTAAAACAGTCAAGACTAGGGCAGAAAAACTGTAGACTGTAGATATTACTAAATAACATATCCCAGCGTTTCTTACCACTGGCTGTGCTTCTTGAAGCTACTGGAAAATTCAGTTCAATGATACATTTATTGGCATATTCCCATTTCTGGAACAAAGTATCTACTTAAATCATATCTATTCCTTCAAAAGGGATGGTGGGTTTTAAAATAAACAATGCTTTCAGTATACAAAATTCTATTTTTATTTTTTGTCTGACTGTGCATGTGAGAAACAAGTTAGAAAAAGATATGTCTCTTAGTCTTATGGTAACTTTAACTTTTAAAAAAGCAGTGTAATTGAAAAATGGGCTGCAATGAATCTGATCTTTGAGAAAATATTGAAATATCATTAAATAACATTTAAGCTCAATGTCTGTATTTTATGTTGTTTATTTGTTTGATTTGCTAGAGGAAGTGTGAAAGGGCAATGGATGCAATGTCATAACACATGTTTCATAATTTTGGCATCATCATGGTTAGAAATTGAATACTACAGAAAAGTCCTGTAATCTCAATTCATCTTTTGGAGAGATGGTTATGCCCTTTTAGAAGGTTTTCCTCCTGTTGTGTGTGTAATCAACAGTTTTATAGTAGGAGATTCTTATGGCAATCAATGGAATTTAGATCTGGCCAAGAACTATCTTGTGTATTTTCATATAAAACTCTAAAGTATGCATTTTAATAATAAATTTGCTTATATTTTGGCTGCAAAAAAGAAAACATGATAATCATTGTTGGAAATTTCAAGTGTGAATTCTTGTAATCAAAATTTCTGCATCTTTGGAGTACCTTTTTCCATTTATCCTTATATATAAAATGGCCACTAACCCTTAGGAATCAGAAATGCAGAATAAGAATGCTAACATTCTTTTTTGAATCAATGTTTATAGTTAGTCATGTGCTTTGAGCTTTTATATGTAACGCACATTTTTAAAATAAATAAAAACAAATATAAATGATGAAATAAAGTAATTATTAGGAAGACAATCTGAGATGTGCTAGACATCTGTACACAAAAGATATTTCAATAGGCACCAGCTCTCCAACTTTGCAATTCTATTTATAGTAAAAGTAACTCCTATTGAATTGGATTATTTCATTATAATTAAGATTAAGATAGAAAACCTTAATGGATTTCATTACTTAGGACAGGATTATGCAAGGCTTGTGATGGGGGGGGGGGGTCTGAAATAGGAAAGCCTATCCTTGAGTTGTTCATTCGATGTTTTTCTCAAAGTAAGAAGATTACCAGATTAGCAATTTAAGCTTTTGTCAAAATATTTTTTATTTTATTTATGTTCAGAGTAATGTATATTTATTTATTTATTTATTTTGGTTAAATTAAATGTATTTTGTCCATTGATTTCAACAGGTTTAACCACATGTAGTACTATGTTGTATATAATCTTTAAAAATAACCTACTTTATTTCCCTCTGCAAGCTGCAAACAATAGATCTGTTTACTGATTTATTTCTCAGCACTAAGTCATTGTTATGTCATTAAAAACACAGATAAGTGTACAGATCTTTTAAGGCATACAAAATTCTTACAACAAAATGATAGTTTAAAGGCCAGCAAATATATTGTGAAATAAACTTTGGGGCAATAGAATCAATTTTGTCATTGTATTTGAAAAAATTTAAATTAAAAATATTTTTTAATCTTTGTGGAAATTACAGTATTTCTGAAATTATAGCTTACAATGTAAACCTTTTTAATGGTAATTTTTTTTTTCAACAGAGGAATTCAAGGGATCAACAATAGTTGAACTAATAAAGAAAGAGGGCACTACTTTGGGGCTTACAGTATCTGGTGGAACGGACAAAGATGGAAAACCAAGAGTGTCCAATCTTCGACAAGGAGGAATTGCTGCAAGGTAAAGACTTTTCAAGACAATGAACACACACACACACACACACACACACACACACACACACAAAAGATAGCTTCAAGTTCCTCAACAATAAATAATAGATACCTTTATCTAAGTTAGCCATGAGAGAAGAAACACAGAATGTTGATAATTTTAAAAGTGGAGAAACTTTAGAAATATTGCAGGATGCAATATTACAAATAAAGAATAGGTTTGGTGATATGCAGAATAGATTCTGCAGTCAAATGATGACAAAGAATCAAAAAAATTAAATAGACTGTACTGTGACTAATTGTTAAATTGGCAACTTATTCTACTTGTGAACAATTCAGTTGTATTTCACTAAACCTAATGTTGGTAGAAAACACATCTCACATAAAGCAAGATGCAGGTTTAATCACTGTTCTCTCAAAAAGATCTTAAGTGAATGATTTTCACATGACACTCTGAAACATTATTCTCCTATCTAGTTCATTCCTGAGAGATCGGTGTCATTTAAAGTGTCAAATTATAGAAATTTGGACATGTAGAGACTTTGTCAATCAAATAGCCAACGGACTACATAGAGAAACAGTTTGACTTGCTTCCTAAAATAGAGACCTATTTTTGCTTTGTAATACTTTTATATATGATGATGATGATGATGATGATGTTGTTGATGATGATACACAAATAAAGGAATACTATATTGCTAAATATAGAATGTCTATTTTGAAAATTAGCATTAAAATAATACATTTTTAACTTCTAAATGAGGGATCCTTGGTGTTCTTTGAGCTTGTTTGTTTTCTTACAGATGTCTGGGTAATGTTTTATTCCCAAACTAGGTGACAACATCTTAGATCAGACGTATCAAACTCAAGCCCCACAGGCCAGATGCAGCCTACGATGTGTTTGGATCTAGCTGCCAGGGCCACCTGGAGACAGCGAGGTGCCAGCCCCTTCTGCCTTAGCCCCAGGCCATCTCAGCCAGGCCAGGTGCTCCCCCTGGGTGCTTGCACAGGGATAGCGAGAGCACAGGGATTGGCAGTGCCCAGTAGCACCTGCAATTCATTGGCACCTTAGCTGCTCATTGACCAGAAGCAATGGCTAGCTGGATGTGAGCCCAAGATCCAATAAGCCACACTTGGTCCCGCCCCACCTGCACTGCACTCGTGCACCTTGGGGTCCTGCAGCCTGTGCAATGCAGGTGGGTTCAGATGCCACAGTGGTTGGGCCAGCCCTTTAAGTGGCAAGCAGAGGCAGAAGTGCAGGGTAGAGGCATGCAATGCAGCTCTTCAGATATGCTAGGTGGCTACATAGAACACTTGGTGGCCGTGGGCAAGTACAATGAGGCAGCCTAGCCATTCATTGTCATTGCCAAATTATGGCCCCTGGCCACTCGGCCTCTGCCATCCAACCTCATCCTCCAGCTCAAACTGCACTCATGGGACAAGCTTCTGGCCTGCCGCTACACCTCCAATGTCCCTGACAAATGGGAAGGGTGGGAAGTTCCCGTCCCAAGAATATGAGTAATGAAACAACTGCAAGAAAAAAAATCAAGTTCAAAGAGCACCAAGGACCTCTTATTTCAACCCTGAGCTACAAACATGTAAATGTTATCAGATAAATAAAATACAGCATCACTGAAGAAGAGATGTGTATTGCAGAAGTGACCAACTGGATGTGGGGGATTACATCAAATCTGTAAATGGAATCAACCTGACAAAGTTTCGGCATGATGAGATCATTAGTTTGCTCAAGAATGTTGGTGAGCGGGTTGTATTAGAAGTGGAGTATGAGCTGCCACCTGCTTGTAAGTAATAATTGATAAAATAATAATCCTGTGTAAAATGTTTTTACAAGAGTAAAATTAATGGGTATTAAACTGATGGTATGGTACAATTATGGTAATATCTTTTTTCTTATATCCTTCTCTTCTGTTTCACAAGCTCACTGTTTTGTTTTTTAATTTCCACATTAGCAATGCTTGTTTGTTAGCGTCATTTATCTAGGTTGTCATTTGCAAAATGCTTATTACAATGGGTGGTCTGTGTACCAGAAGACACCCTGGGGAGAATATTGCTATTGATGAAGATGGCAGGGTTCTCTCGTACTATGATGGTTTTGCCGAATTAGACATTATTTTTAATAGTAATTTTTCCAGTATCAAAAAGTGTGTTACCTAAGTTAGGATATTGAGTTTAGTATCTGGAAATTTAGAGTTTAAATTTAATAAAATGTACAATACGCCAGAACACACAGTTGTAGTTGAGTAGTTAGAGAGTTCTGACTCATTCATGATGCAATCTATGCTCTGATTGGTTGCTGTAAGTATAAAGAGGGAGTTTCCCTTTTCCCCTCCTTTTTCTTCTGTGCGTTCTGGATACTGTTTAATTTACCTTTAATTTGTATCAAAGGCAAAATTGAACATTTAAAAGTTAGCACAATTGTCTTATATACACTATAACTGAAAAGCCACATAATATCTCTCCGATTGTATACTACAGCTGATATTGCAGGAGCTGTACATAATAATGCAAAGTTGCTTGCAATATATGCCATCTAATCTCAATTATCCCATTCATAGCAATCTGCAACATCACCCTTTTCTGGTGCAAGATGAATTGCCATTATTTTCAGTAATTTCTGTGCTCTATCCAAGAGGATAACATCCTACAGTATATTCATGATGCAACGAAATCCAGGGGGGAGATTTTTCTATTCTCCGTTACTGCCTGAGCCTCCGTTAAATCTAAATTTGCACTTCTCCTGTCAAGATCAATTTTGGTGTAATGCTTTATATTATTTGAGAATAAAAGTAATTTAGCTTTTGATGCTCCTTCTAGTGATCATCTTAACATCTATTTCTCAAAGAGGATTTTGAGCTCATATATTTTGCTATTTTTGGTGTACTGGTTAGAAACTGGGAAAGGCTAGAAACTGGGAAACCATGAGTTCTAGTCCCACCTTGAGCACAAAGTTAGCTGGGTGACCTTGGGCCAGTCACTTTCTTTCAGCCCTGGGAAGGAGGCAATGGCAAACCACTTCTGAAGAACCTTCCCAAGTAAAATTCAGAGATTTATCCAGGCAGTTTCCAATTATTAGACACAATTGAACAGAAAGAAAAAAAATGCTATAGTGGCCCCTACATGGTCAAAGGTTGAGATAATTGTTATATTATTGGAAACAGTTTTTGGCCATTAAATCCGAAACAGGATTTCAAAAATGCTTTATAGCTCCCATTTCCCCTCTGTCCTACCCCTTCCTCAAGAGTTAAAGACTCTTGAGTTCCCAATCTGGCTGTGTCAGCTAATACTAGAAGTTTAGAGTTAAAGAAGTTTGAAATCTGATCTACATACCATAAAATTCTTCCAAGTCTAAAACAGGAAGATTAGAGGCCTCTGCAATGCAAAATTGGTGGTGGTGCCCGCAGCAGAAGTTTTTTTTATTTGCGCCCAAGAGAGAGAAAAACATCTGCCACTACCTAGGATTGAACTCTCAACCTTCCCCACACAAGGTGATCAACTTCACTGCTAGGCCACCTTGCCCCTTGCTACCTTGAAGGGAGTTAGTCCCATGCTACTGTGAACAGCATTATTGTATGCGACCTCCATGAAAGGCAGGAGGTCCGCCCAATTGGCCTGCTGATAATTCACGTAGCACCCCAGATACTGCTCTACCATGGCATTCAATCTCTCTCCACCCCCATTGGTGCTTGGATGAAAGGCTGAGCTAAGACCTGGGATGACCCAATAGGCCACAGGAACCCCCTCCAAAAGAATTTACAAGAATTTACCTTTAATTTCACATTTTAAAAGTCTTTCATTTGATATTTAGCAATTACTGGAATTCTTTCTTAATGACTGCCTTAGTACTTAACAGAGACATTGGGTCCTTAAATCACCGTGTATATGTTCCAGCTTCAATATCAGCCAATTGAAGCCTGTCACTAACACCAGATAATTTTGAAATATTAAAAGAATATAGCTCATTTATTATGCTGAATTGTCTATTTTAAGTTGCTTAGACTTTAGAGCCTCATAATCTGCATTAGAGAATTTTTCCTCCTGCTTTTTATTTATACCTAATTTTCATTCATCATATTACTGCTACTCAAATTCTATCCTTGTATTAATCTCCCAGATAATTTCAATATTTTACAGTGGAAAAAACGGTTATCATTAGCCATAATATAAAATATAAATAGTGGACTGTCTTCAAATTAGCAGTTAAATAGCTTGCCTAGTAATCAAAAAGCAGTATATTATCTAAAGTTTAGCATTTGTGGTAGGAACTAAAAAACAGTTACCCTCTCTATATATATCTTAAGTTCGTTCCCCTGGCAGAAGACATTTCTGTGCATATGCAGACGTACTCAATAAACTTGGGAAAGTTCTTGAAAATACTTCTCTGAACCTTGGAGAAATACATCCTCCTCAGTGAAACTTCCAAAAGGTTTGCTCAGCTCAAATAAATGATACATTAATTATTAATAAATTTTAAAGTTTAGTTTCATTGCAAACAGTATAATTAGAAGGCTTTATCTTATTTTTCAGCTGTACAAGGTTCAGGTGTCATTTTTAGAACTGTGGAAGTTACTTTACATAAAGAAGGGAACACTTTTGGATTTGTAATTAGAGGTAAGTTCTCCATAATAATTTCTTTGTCAAAAAAAATTAAGCTGATTTTATGTTTTCATCCATTATACACATCCTCTCAATGTTAATGTGGCTGAAATTATTGTATGAAAACTTAGTTGTAATCAAATATCATTATATAGTTTTCATGGAATTAGTTCCAACAAATATAACTGGATTCTGCTCATTATATTTATGAACCAGCCCCATGAATATTTAAGTAACATTAAAAATAGGAGTGGGAAAGAAAACTTTTGTTCAAATATTCTAAAGATATTCCAGTTAATAAATGTAGATGTAGATTTTGATACAAGTGTAAGAATGTGTTCATTTCATTGCCTTTCCTAGGTGGAGCACACGATGACAGAAATAAATCCCGTCCTATTGTAATAACATGTGTTAGACCTGGAGGTCCTGCTGACAGGTATATATTCATTTTCTGGAATACACTTATACATATTGACATTCACAAATAAAAAGAGATATAAATACAAAAGGTCAAAAGTTGAATCACTGGAGGAAGGTGCAAGTTAAGATCAAAAACTACAAAGCGCATGAGACACCCTCATGTGTAATCATCCAATTTATCTTAATAAATTACACATTTGATTATTTGTGTTATAAACAAGCATTGCATAAGACTGCATGATGTGAATTTTAAAGAAACGTGGCTTCTTTAATTAAATAGAGTTTAGTACCTGAATGTTTACGAAGTGTTTAAAGTAGGACACAGAGAACAAAATACAAGTTTAATCTTCTGGTTTTTTTGTAAAATTTCAAAAAAAATTATTTTCTTCTAGGGTATTATTTTTTTCCTATTTGAGAAAAATGTCCTTTTTAAAAAAACATACTTGATGAATGGCTTAATGTCCTTTGAACATTTATTCATGGTACCATTAATTCTATCTATATGTCCTCCAAAAAACCTCTAAGCAACATTTACTTTCGCCCTTTCCTTTGGGAATTCAAATGCATCCTTTGGGATGTATAGACTTTTGTCCTACTTTATTCTTTCAATATCAACCCTGTTAGATAAGGGTTAGAGAAAGACAGTGATTAGCCCAAGTTTGCCCTGTGTACTCCAAGTGGGAACTTGAACCTGAATTTTCCAGTTATGGTACAACACCTTAACAATTACACCAGTTTCCTATTTTAATCCCCATGAAAACTCATGAGACAGTTCAAGTGAGTGGGTGACTGAATAAAGCCCATCCATTAGATGATTTAGCTAGAATTTATTTCTTTTTCAATAACTGCAAATGTAGACATGTTCATATTAAGTCATTAAGGTCATACTATTTAAATAGTGATGTATATTGCTTTCCTGCCATTAATCTGGCTGATAGAGTGATGCTTCGTGTTTCCTATAGCTCATTTAAAACTATGTTAAATTGTATGCAATTTTTTTGGCATGGAAAAGGTCCATATTAGTTTTTTTAGAGGGAAATTCTGCCGGTATTTGAATCCAGAGAAATGTTAGATATCCTCCAATTGTGAAGTGTACTATTTTTGTTTTTCTGTTTGTATATCTAGCCACTCAAGACATTCTAGGGCTGTTATTTTGACATAAACCATCAATGTGAGTGAGGGCAAATCAGCAGAGATACTTGTTTCTTTTGTTTAAATAAACTTTATTGAATTTTTATTACATTAAAAACATAAAAAATATATCACTCAATAACAGCTATTTGTGGTGCTTAGCATATAACAATCATTTGTGCAATATTTACAGGTATTAATTTGCGCATAATTATATTCTTATTCGATCTATATTCTATATTTAATAATTACCTATTCTTAATCTGTCTCCGATTTATCCAGCTATACCATTGTTAGAGATGCTTGTTTCTATCTGCCATACAGTTGCAGAACTACAAGCCAGTTATTGATGAGGAAAATCTTGTAGCTTTTTCTCCCCACCTCCTTGTTTGTTGACAGCTCATCGCTTCCTGTATTTTGTTATTCTCTCCAGCCTTACATGCTTTTTTCATGAATGGAAAGATAACAGTAATTCTTCTATAGAACTGAATGCATTTTTATATGGATTCCAGAAAAAAAAGATTGTTCCAATATCTGTCATGCTGAATTTTAAAAAAGCAAAACCTTTTGTAAGAGAATAAAAGAATGATCTTGAAACTTGCACATTTTTAAATGGAAAGTATGAGCAACTACAATTTCTAAAGACTATTTTTATAGCTGGCAAGCACATAATAAGATTCAAAGGACAGATCTAAATATGCTATGATTGCCAGTACAGTACAAAAAAACTTTCCACAATACTGGTAGTCCTTGTTTAGCAACCATAGTTGGGACTGGCAATGGTTACTAAGTGTTTTTTGCTCAAGGCACTCAAATCAACTCTCAAACTTGAAACATTGCCCCTGTCTTTCCAGACTATCTATCTCATGTCCCAAAGGTGCTTTTTCAAGAGGCAACTGGACTATCTGGTTTTTCTTTGAAGACGTTTCACTTTTCACCGAAGAAGCTTTTTTAGCTGAAGAGGCTTCTTGGATGAGAAATGAAACGTCTTCAAAGAAAAACCAGATAATCCAGTTGCCTCTTGAAAAAGCACCTTTGGGACAACCATGACCCAAATGATTAAGAATCTTCATAAATCTATCTCATAATTAAACTAAGACAATCTTGAAAATGTTATGCTTAAATTTTTGAAATGAAGTATTTTATATGCATACCCATAGTGAATTTTAAGAGAATAGCAAGTTATGTTGGATGTTGAAAAAAAATACTAGAAAATCTAGATATTTTCTAACCGTTTCTAAGAAACGTTATATTAAATGAATAATGAATGTTCTTTTTCAGAGAGGGTACTATCAAGCCTGGAGACAGGTTGCTCAGCGTTGATGGAATTCGGCTTGTTGGAACTTCACACAATGAAGCCATGTGTATCCTCAAACAGTGTGGGCAAGAAGCAACTCTGCTAGTAGAATATGATGTCTCAGTTATGGGTATGTTGAAATACTGAGGTTTCATTCTAGAACCTATCTATTACATTTTATAGCCCATCTTTTTAGAAGCTATTCAAACATGTTTCTTGGTCTGTTCCTCTACTAGCTCAGAAATTCCCTTATTGCTAAATCTCATTAATTTCTCTAGGTTCATGAAGGGGTGAATTTGAAGTCTGATTATTTTATGACTTTGTAGATTGAAAGAATCCAAAAAATGAAATCAGAATGGTAACATTTATGAATTCACGTGAAGCAATTTTTTCATTCGAATGGAAATAAAGATTTGCATATATTTTGTCACTTCATTAAAAATGGTCAACGCAAACTCTTCAGTGTGTTTGGTGATAGAAAATGGCAGAAATTGTAAGCACAGCATTGATCCTGAAATTCTCCTTCCCCAAAAGGTTAATGGAGAAATTCTATAAAATATACTAGAATAGAATAGAATAACAGAGTTGGAAGGGACCTTGGAGATCTTCTAGTCCAACCCCCTGCTTAGGCAGGAAACCCTACACCACTTCAGACAAGATGCTATTCCAACATCTTTTTAAAAACATTCACTGTTGGAGCATTCACAACTTCTGGAGACAAGGTGTTCCACTGATTAATTGTTCTAACTGTCAGAAAATTTCTCCTTAGTTCTAAGTTGCTTCCCTCCTTGTTTAGTTTCCACCCATTGCTTCTTGTCCTGCCCTCAAGTGCTTTGGAGAATAGCTTGACTCCCTCTTCTTTGTGGTAGCCCCTGAGATATTGGAACACTGCTATCAAGTCTCCCCTAGTCCTTCTTTTCATTAAACTAGACCTACTTAGTTCCTGCAACCGTTCTTTATATGTTTTAGCCTCCAGTCCCTTGATTATCTTTGTTGTTCTTCTCTGCACTCTTTCTAGAATCTCAACATCTTTTTTACATCATGGCGACCAAAACTGAATGCAGTATTCCCAGTGTGGCCTTACCAAGGCATTATTAAGTGGTATTAACATTTCACGTGATCTTGATTCTATCCCTCTGTTTATACAGCCTAGAACTGTGTTGGCTTTTTTGGCAGCAGCTGCACACGGCTGGCTCATACTTAAATGGTTGTCCACTAGGACTCCAAGATCCCTCTCACAGTTTTCTACTATTGAGCAAGGAACCACATATACTGTACCTGTGCATTTGGTTTTCTTACCTAAATGTAGAACCTTACTTTTTTCACCATTTAATTTAATTTTGTTAGATAGCGCCCTTATGCAAGTCTGTCAAGATCCTTCTGTATCTTAAGACTATCTGCTGGAGTGTTAGTTATTCCTGCCAGTTTGGTATTTATTGTGCTGGAATGACAATGTACCTTATTTGTCCTCTACATAAATAACTTTTGGTTAAGAATATTGTGATTTGCTAGTAGTTTTAAAGGTGATACGAGTTTCTAAGTTTATGTGATATATGACAATTTATGTGATATATGACAATTTAATTTGTCTAAATAGAGAATAATATGAAAATCTTAGTTTAATAGCTGACATAAGTCACATAAAATAGCATGAATTTATATGCTTATATATCACTTTGAGTGTACGTATATTTGTATAACTTCATACAAGACCTTCTACAGAAATTCTAATTGCTTTTTCTTATCAGTAACAAATTAAAATGCTCAACTTCCAGAAAAGCAATAACAGAATAAAATGGCTTCACTTTTAGTGGAGCCGATGATTGCAGTGGAAAGTGGAGCTGATGAAGCTTCTTCAGATGTTTTGGGATTGCCCAGAGTGCTCCTTACAGCTGCTCCCCATGATGGGACCATGAAATAGCAGTCTCTGGCAGTTTGTTGAGCTTTGGGAGTTGGGAGAAACAGCTTTTCCCAAGCAGCTGTTCGGAGCCCTTCAAGAGACGCTGAGTGGGTATGTGGGTATATGCATAATAGTTATCTTTTGAGAGAGGAATGCAACTGTTGGAAGAATTATCCTTCTGGGTTCAGTTCCAAGTGGGAAAAAGACACTGGAAACATGGAGGCTGTTTGAAAAGATGGTTTGATGATGGACAGGACCACATGGCTTGGAGCTCCAAAGAAGGAAGGGGTGAGATTCTGAAAGTGCCTGGTTTTATACCCTTTGTTGGGATTTGAATTTGAGCTTGTATTCTGATTGGTTGTCAAGACTCCCAGGGGGCCATGCAGGGGCAACTCTGTAGTCTGTCCAGAGTCCCAGGCTTGGTTGAGCCTTGCTAGATGATGGTGTAATGAAAAGGGCTTTGGGCAATTCCTATAGCTCTACCTGGAGATCTTTGTTATGTAAAATACTCTGCCCCAGGCCTTAATGACCCACCCATTAACAAAGGTGGGGGTAAGCTTCTGCTTCTGAGTTTCTACTTTTATTAGGGGAAATATTCTACCTTTTAAATATTTCCCAGGATATTTCATTTTTCTTGGAGGGGGTGGATGCTAACTTCCTACACAACAAAATTGCATATTAATATATGCTGATTAATGTACATTTAAAATGACAATAAAGTTCTATTCTATTCTAGTTCACCTACTTCCCTCTTAATCACTTTTATTAGAAATGGCTTGTAAATTGCTTTTTGGACATTAAGAATCTTCAGAAGGACAAGTCTTATTGTACTAGATGATTTTCCTCCAGTCTACAGTTAATGAAAATTTATGTAACTTTAAAACTTAAAGAAAAACTTTTTTTAAACTTGGAAATAAGCAGCAAAAGGTTGATTAGAATACACATTTCTGAAAATTTTCAAACAAACTAAAGGGCAAGACTTTAGACTTTTAAAAAGTTTTAAGAATAGTTCTGTAGTTTGTTTAAAAGTTTCTTTAAAATTTATGAAGATTTGTGTCCAAGTGTGAGAAATCTCTTTTTGGGAAATTGTTCTGGATAAGAAAAAAACAAGATAAGAGACATTTGAAGATTGGCTATCAAAGGCAACCAGAAAGAAGTAAATATTGTAATAAAAGGAGAAAACCCATTAATACAGTACGGAGAAAAATGTTTTAACTCTGGAAGAATTTAAGGATATTTGGCAACAATGTCCTCAGAACTTAATCTTACGCTGATACAATAAAAATGGATTTAAAAGAAGAGATAGAAGAAAATATAAATGAAAATCAGGCTGTTTTGGATATGAATTTAAAATTGACAGGATACAAGAACAATATTGACAAAGATGCTATATAAGATCTAGAAATGAAAGCACTTTAAGTCTTAATAATTAAAAGGATCACACAAATAAATTGTCGGAGTACTTAGATATGGGGATTTCAACTCAGAAAAGTGACTTGAACAAAATTCTAACTTTACAAAAGAGATGTATTATACTTCTAAAGAAATTCCTGAAAAACAGAAAAGAGGGAAGAAATCACATTTTGAGACATTACCTAAAAGAAATAAGATATTTAAAACTAAAATTAAGGTTTATAAAGCTGGGTTATTTGGTCAAGGTTAATGTGCATGTTTCTGTTCTCTAACAGCTTTTAATAGATTTTTCTTAACTAGGCCTGACTGATAAAGCTTCAAAGTTTTGTTTTTAGATATGAGATAAGATATGAAAAAAAATATTCTTCTTTGTATTTTTAGAGGAAAGGATATAAAGGAAAGGAAAGAAGTATGAAATGGAGTTACTTGTTTAAAATTAATGTGAGTGTGTGTATTTCTGGTAATTCTTAATGAACTTTTGCAGTTTATGATTGAAAAATGAGTCTTAATTACTTCTCAATAAATAATAGATGAAATATGGGATGAAGAGATTTTTGGTTGAAATATTAGAGAAGATGTTGAGTTATTGAAAATGTTTATACTTGAGGAAGGCAGAGCCTCCTCACTGACGGACCGTAGATTGCGACTCTCTGCAGCTATGGTCCATGCTCTTTCGTTGGAGAGCCCCGATTATTACGATTAGGGGCTGAAGCTTCCTTGGAGGGGCGGCGGAGTAAAGGGGAGCCGCAAGCCAGGTTGAGGGGAGTCGCATCTCCCCCCCGGGCTTGGTCTTTTTCCCCCTGAAGACGACTGCAGTGGTGGTTTAAAATGGCCACGCCAAAGAGGAGGACTCAGCTGGATTAAGCTTTGTGCGGGAGAGAAGAAAGAGGTGGATAACATCTGAACCGGGACAACTGGGCAATACAACTAAAGAAAAGTACCCTGGGATTAAGGAAACATGGAATTTTTAAGAAAAGAAAAGTGAGCGGCGAAATTACAAAGGGACAGGGGAAAAAAAAAGAAAATATTTTTGACAGCTAAGCAGGGCTTCGAACCGGGAAAGGAAGAAGCTGGAACTAAAGATTTAACTAAATTGGACTAAAATATTTTGAGAATAAACAGGCATAAAATAAAGCTTTATAAAGCTTTGTCAAAAAATAATAATAATTAAGTTTACAAATTGGATACTGGACTGTGCTGGAATATTGAGGTTCGAAAAACCCTAAATAAAAAAATAGGGGGAAAAGGTGAAGACTTTGTATAATGGAGAGTGCCACCTTTTGACAAAAATTTGAGCTCAAACAAAAGGGAAAGCATCCTGTTTCTGAATGAACTTGTGTGGATATAACATTAAAGAAATATTGAAACAAAGCAAGACTCTTAGAAAGTGAAAGCAGAACCAGAATAAAGAAAAAAGCAAGGAAAGACTGACTGTGGGATTGACTGATGTTTTTGGTATAGACCCTCAGCTGGAATAACTGAGAACTTTAGAAAATTGAAAGAAGAAAGAAGGAAAGTAAAAGTGTTTTTTTTTGTGGACTTTAACGATCATAAAATATAAGAGTGTGTAATGATGATATCTCTTCGCGAATTAAAAATGGAACTTAAAAATATGAGAATTACTACAGGAAAGAGGCAAATCACTTTGCTCTGTGTTAGAAAAACTGGAAATGGCGATTGAAGAACAAGACGAAAGAGCTTCAGAGGAGGAGGAGGAGTCGATTCAAGGAAAAGTCATCTTAAATTGACAATTAACACAAGAACACTACAGAAGTGGGGAAAGAAGGAAGGTTAAAAAGTTGAAATTTAAGAAGGCA